GCGGGTGGGACTGGGCATGCCATGCTTGACTCGCTCGAGCTGGCTAGCTTGACTCCTACTCCTACTCCTACTCCTACTCCTACTCCTACTCCTACTCCTACTCCTACTCCTCCTCTTCCTCCTCCTCCTCCCGCCCTCCGATCCTTAGTCCGTGATGTATGTATCACACACGTATTCAATCTATACACGTATCTATACTCCCACTTAAAAACCCAACAGGCCGAAATCTGGGACGCCCCATCCTACCTGTCCCAGGTGTTCCTTTCAAGATGGCCGGCTTGCCGTCGACACTGCACACTGCTCGGCAGGAATGGGACGCGGCGCACATCCCGCGCGAAGGTCGAAATCTGGCTCTCGCCTCGGCGCCACGCTTATTCCTACTGCCGCACAAAGAAATCCTGAATTTTCGTTCCCGCCTCTGCGCCGAACGCGTGGCTGTCCCGTCGCCGAGCCTTAGGAAGCGGGACCTCCCGCGATCGTCTTCCGTTCGCTGGACGGGAACGCGTTCCAATCCCAACATCGACTTGCGCCACAATGTGTTCGTATGTTATGGCAGGGAGGGTGGGGAAAGGCGGTGCATGCTGATTCGTTCGGTCTGGCGATCGTGGCTAGTTCATGCTTTCACTGTGCCGCCAAACCCGCCGATAACCGTTCAGTCTGGGCTTTTCCATCCTACACATACAGGGCAGTTTTTAATACATCGGATTTCTACAAATATAGGATTCTAATAGTGATTAATGTATGGATAAACTTATGCATGAACTCATCGTTGTTATTAATACTAATTCCCTGCATTTTGACACATGATCCGCACGCGGAGCATGTATTTTAAAAAGGCACTGTACACAGCGATACAAAGTCTACGGCTTCCCTTCCCACATGGCCGCTTCGTCGTTGACATTGCATGGCACGAGCGGGACGGCGACCATCCCGCGCGGAAGGGCCGGGCGAGATGTCGCCGTCGCCCCGGCGACGCGCTCTCCCCTGAGAGCAGAAGAGTTCCCTCTGGGGCGCGCGGTGCGCCCTCTTCGCTCGCCCCTTCGTCGACGGCGGCGGCCACGCGCGGGCTGACGAGAAGCTGTTGCTCTCGCCCCAGCGCCGCCGAGATTTTGCCTGAAAGTGGCCTCCTCCGCCTTCTCCTCCTCCTCCTCCGCCTCCTCCTCCTTCTCCTCCTCGTCCTCCTCCTCCTCCTCCTCCTCCTCCTCCTCCTCCTCCTCCTCCCCCTCCTCCTCCTCCTCCCCCTCCTCCCCGTCCCCCTCCACCTCCCTCCCTCTTTCTCCTCCTCCTCCTCCTCCTCCTCCTCCTCCTCCTCCTCCTCCTCCTCCTCCTCCTCCTCCTCCTCCTCCTCCTCCTCCGCCTCCGTTCTGCCTCGGCGCGGCGCACAGCTCCCGGTCGCCGGGTCGTTCGGGGGCCGGGGCGCGCGCGAGCGGGCGACGACTCGCACTTGCCCGAGGCTCCGTGCAGACATCGCTGCGAAGTGGCGCTCCCGCGCGGGCGCGGAACGCAGGTCGCCGGCCGGGTCGCAGGAGCGCAGCAGCGGCAACGGGGCCGCGCGAGACAGGCCAAGGTCTGCTTTAGCTCACGCGCCGCGCAGCCTGTGCGCCAAGGTGGCAGCGCTGTTTTGGCGCAGCGCGCGCCTCGTCCTCGC